CTCTTCCTCCCCCCGCCCTCTCTTCCTCCCCCTCGTGCCCGTTCTCTTTCCTTCCGTTTTATTTTTGTTACTGGGAAGCGCGTCTCGTATCGCCCCGCTGGCGCGCGACGGGTATATTCATGAAGGCATCTCTCTCTCGCTCGCTCGCTCGCTCGCACGCACGCACTCTCTATCTTTGTCCGCGTACATGTATCTACTACACCACCCCCGCAGCAGTGCACTAGACTGGACCAGTGCACTGTAAACGGAGGTGACCGTTTGTAACGCAATGTAAATTACACTTGGTGCCACGTTGTTTAACAAGTAACAAAACCGTAAATGGAGGATTGGTATCTCAATTATAGCACCAATGCCATAAAATCAATAAAGCATTCCGGTAAAGCTGAAATGCAGAAGAATGCAGGGAACAAGACAACGGAAGTCCCTACGTTGAAGAATAGCGATTTCCGTTTTCTTCTTCCTTGCATTCTTTTCCATTTCAGCTTTACACGAATGCTTTATTGTGAATCCCCTACGACCGCGGAGATAGGTGCAACTGCAGTATTGTTCTATTTCACATATTGTGCCTGTTCGTTGCAGTTCTTGTAAAGGTAACGAATCGAAACATTAAGTCACTGAACACAACATAACGCAAAACTCTGACTTGTAACGCAGCTTAGAGTTAAGTTACTGGTCCCTGCCACGCCTGCTACAGTACCTACATTGTGTTCGCGACGACGTTGATGTCGTTGTGTACTAAGGGCAAGGGCCAAACGACACAGCGGATCGCGAACACGATAGCGCCCCGCAGGTGTACGGAATACACAATGTGCGACTCTCTCTGCGCTTTTCACAACCCCCTCCGTCTGCCCTAGATATGGCATGATTTTGTGTTTTTGTTTTTGTTATTTAAATCAGCTGCGGGATGTGATGTTCGGGCGGACTAGGCGGGACCACCTGGACCAAGGGGCCCAAGCCCTAGAACAGCGTTTCTCTATGTGGCACGGGCCGCGGACCGGCGAATCTCATTTTGCGAGATCCGTCTCTGCGAGGGTTGACTGCTGCACGCGCGCCCCCGCCCCGCCCCGCCCGACGGGGTGGTTGTGAGTTGCTTGCACTGATGACATGGCCGGGTGCGGCGGCCCGGGCTTATTTCATTCCGTTGCGGCGGCCCGGTCGGCCCGGTCGGTCGGTACGGGCCGGGGGGCCTAACCGCTCAGGCGGGGCGGGGGGCACGTGTTGGAGCGGCGGAGCGGCGGGCGGGGAGGGCGACGTGGCAACTTCGCCCGTGACCAGTGAATGCTGCGGTTGTGGCTGCCGCCGCCGTCCCCCGCTCCGCTCCTCTCCCCGCGCGGCGTTGCCGTGCCGCCCACCGCCCCCTCTCCCCTCCCTCCCTCCTCTCCTCGGGCATGGTTGCCGCCCGGGCGCGGCGGGGCGCGGCGGGGCGGGGGCCGACGGCGGCCATGTTGGCGCGCGAGCTGCGCCAGCCAATAGCGGCCCCGCGAGCAGTGCATGCGTGGAAGTGGGGCCCCTGATTGGCAGAGCGGCACTTGTTTTGATTCCTAGCGCCAGGAACAGGACGAAGGAGAGGAGG